TAATGTTGAGTGGCAGTTTACCTAATGCTTGGTTCAACAAAGCAACACCTTCCAAATTCTGGATATAGGAGAGTGACTTGAACACGCCAACAAGGTTTGAGATGGTAGAAGCAAAACTTATAATGCTGTCGGAATTATGCATCTTCAATGGTGGGAAAAAAACTTAGTTTTTCAAGATGAGCATTATTTACGGTTTGTGGCTGGCCAAATTTCCAAATAAGAGTTTTCAAGGCATCTTTATGCATAAAACCGGAAGACGCAAATTCAGTGAGGGCATTTTTGGCTTTCCCAGTCACAAGAGTTTTTAAGTGTGTCAACTTGACGTCATCGCTCAAATAGGCGGAGTCGACAGCGCTTACAAACCGGCCGAACCATTCATGCCAATGTAAAGGATCACCGTTGCATTGAGACAATTTCAATTCTGGTAGCGGATTTTTACGGTTCATGGTGATAATCTCAGCGAGGTCTTCGATAATAAGAGATTTTTGTCCGTTAATTGGCGGGTAGGGCGGCTTGTTTCGATCAACGTGATTGTTGTCATCAACGTTACAACAATTGAATCAGCCATCTCGAGGATCCGAAACCTGATACTCAGACTCCGGCTGGTAGAAGACGGTTCCACCACTGGTTAATGGAAAGTTCGAATTCGTGTAATCGAAAGTCGAATCTGGCATGTTTCTAATTTTGACTTTCTTTAGACGGCGGTAGAGCTAGAGTTTGACTCTGTCTAGTTTGCGCGGTTTGAATGAAACCAACGGGTAGCACAGTAGATTTCTTAGACGTTTGCGAAACCTTCGGAATGTATTGAGTGTTAATTTGGATTATGTTTTTTTTTCAGATCTGGGTTACAAAGACTTTCTGATATTGGTTTTTACCTTCATCCAATTGACTAGTCGAGACAGATATCGCCGGTTGGAAAAACTGGTTAACCGGGTTAACGCAGAGCGGTTTTAAACCAGCAGCACTCGGTGACGGTTCGGTTTTATGTGCAGAATGAACTTCTTTGGTTGTTTTGTTCACCCAGCTTTCTGTCATTTTATTTGCGGCAAGACTCTCCTCGGGCAAGTCTATCGAACTTGTCTTCTCTACTATGTCTTCAAGATTCGCACTTTCAGTTAAAGTATCTTCGGCCAATTTGAATCGAATTTTTTTAGCCAACTCTTCCATTTTAAAAAAATTTTCTGCTGTTTCAAGCAAAATTTAGCTTCATTTTGTCGCTCTATTTCTTCACGGCGCAAGGTTGCAATTTTCAGCTCTCGACTCCTTTGGCTAGAAGTCACTGACGCAGACAAATACTTAGAAGATTCTATAATACTTTTGTGTGATGTGGTTGCAGAGCTTCGTGATTTAAAACTTTCAAAGTGGCTGAGGGTGTGTTTGGTGTCAAGATACTGTCGGGCTTTAGTTAGAAATGCATCGTTTCTCTGTGTTAAAAGCTCTAACCAAGGTTCCAAGGCTGCTTTGTCGGATTCTCGTGATGTTAAAAAGAGGATTTCTTCATTTTTGAAGACGGCTTTTTTCGAGCATTCTTTACACATTTGAAGCCCTTTTTTGATTTTAACAGTGCGGTCTTTCCTCTCAATGGCCTCAAGTATGCACTCATGGTTTATATCTAACTTTTTTTCAAGCTTGGTTCCAGCTAGCGTGAGACGGTTGATCTCATTGGCACCATCGGACGCTATTGCAGGCGGAGACTAGAAAACGTTCGCTGTAAGCGAAAACGGATCGGCAGCCATCGTACAAGAAATGACTAAACTGAGCTTCAGATAACCCCTGGGAGCGAAACCCGAGGTAAGAAATTAGCACAGTATAATCAACTCGGAAAAAATTCTGGCGGAACGGAAGAATTGCTATGAGCAACTTTTTCTGGCCTACTAACCTAAGGTTAACAGATGAAAGATGCTAGCGTTTCGTTAAATTTATTTTCAAATAAACTAAAGTAAATTCAACTGACAGGGTAAACGAAAAACTAAATTCGTTTAAAATTTATGCAAAGACTTTGAAATAAAACGGACAACTTGTTTTATGTGGACCTTCTGAGCGCCCATTTTAGTTTACTTCCTTTTGAAAGTTTTTCGTTGAATTTTACCATATTTCTTTTTTCGTTTGTATTTTTCAACAATGGTTTTCCAAATTTTGGCTGTGTCGTAAAATAATGGTTGAAGTTTTCAATTCGAGACGAGAAGCTCGATGCAAAGCTTTATATTGATTTTGAACGGTTTTGTTTTTGCATTTTTTTGAGAAACAATATGGTTTATAATTGAAATAGTTAAAGGGGCAGAATCCTGTAAAACGATTAGAATACTGTCTTGGCCCTCTCGGTGACAATATATGGTTGCAGTTATTCGGTTTCTATAATTGTTCAATAGTCAATTTAATTGCAAAGCGGACAAACATTGAAACTTGTTGCCCATATGCTTACTTATAGAATTGTTGATTAAGTCAGGCCACAAATAACATCATTCTAGGAAGCTAACTGTGGATTATTGTGTAAAATATATTGCACTGTTTTCTTTTGATTTTTTGCAAAAAAACTCAAAGAAAATCCTTTTTTAGCTGAACTAATTCTTTGCAATCTATCTCTCAGCTTTCGGCGTTGAGCTTGTATTGCATAACAAAGAGAGCTTGCTCCTAAGATGAAAGCCATTATAGTTGTTGAGAACGGTACAATAAGTTATTTTATGGTAAGTTTTAGACTCTTAGAAAAAAAGTAATTTATAACAATGTCTTTGGGTGAACCGCACGATTACGCCTATGTGTGCACGGTACTGCAAACCAAAAGATTAAGGGTTAAAGCGGTCGTTTACGGACTGAAACGTAAACGGGCGCGAACGGAAGCGGACAAGTTGAGTGTATTGATCTGAAAATCAGACAACCCCTAGGAGCAAAACCCGAGGTAAGAAATAAATCCAAACCAACACACACAACTACGGCGAAGAACGGGCAGTGACGTTGGGGGAACGTTTTTGGGGTCGATATGCGTCGTTTTGCTATCGGGCCGATCAAAAATCGGTACTAGTAGGGTCGAGTTGAGTGAACTGCTATAAGTTTCAGACAACCCCTAGGAGTAAGACCCGAGGTGAGAAATCGGCTCAAGCAACTCACTCAACAAAAGGAAAGTCGGGCGGAGGCAACAATGTTTGATGTTATAGAACATAAATATCCCATATTTTGGTGTTTTACTTCGTGAGGGGCAAAAAAGTTGAAGTTGGACTGAAACTTTTCTGATGTACACAAAGATTTTTCTGCTTCCCTTAAAATTTAGTTGTGAAAACCCTTTAGCACTTAATTCTATGTTTTTTAATTTTTTGTTCAGGTTATGCTAACAAGTATTCGAGAGTTAATGTAGGTTTTGGATCGATTTGTACTTGAAATTCATTGTAGAAAAGTTAACTGCAAAAAAAAGGAATTAAAATTTAACTTTCTTAAAATTTTTGCTGTTTTTCTACGTTTTTTGCCTCGGAACTTTTGGTCTTCGATGTCGTAGTATATCTCCAGAATGCGGCAACTGATGCTTTCTTCCTTCTGATTAAGATTCAGCTACCACTGGGATAAGACCTTGGGTGACATGGAATACTTCGGGTTTGATTTTCAAGTCTCAATTTTCTGATTCGAATTGCTGATTCGGAAGTTCTGGGGTGATTGACGGGACAGCGATCCCGCACCATGAAACTTCGGTGCGGTTTGCAAAGAATAAAGTAACTCCAAGATAGCGTAGTAACTTGCGTAGTCAACTTTTCTTTGGAAAAACCTAAGTTTTTCTCAATAATCACCCACCTTTTTTCCGACAAAAATTTCTTTTTTCATCGAGCAAAAAGTCCTTTTTTCCGTTAAAATTGCCTTTTTCCCCAACTTTTCCCGAGTCACGTCACCAAAATATTCCTATGACAATAAGGATGGTCGGGAATAACTCAAAACAACCTTAGAATTCAGAGTTTACAGAAAAATTGGTAACATTTTTTCCCATAATTCGAACAATTCTTTTTTATTCACAAGTTTTCACGATTATTTACCAACTGCGGATTATGGGCATTTGAACAAATATCTTCAATCTGAACATTTTTGTGAACAATTCAATATAGCAAGTTGAATATAATAAGCAGTATAACAATTTAATATAATAAGTTGAGGCTGAACACAAAGCAATTTCATCAACTACGGCCTATAAACAAGAGTTAATTTAGAGCCTATAAAAACTAGAGCCTATAAAACTAGAGCCCATCAACTAGAGCCTATAAAAACCGAAACAAGAGTTAATTTAGTTCAAGTTTTAATTCCTAAGGTTAAAGGGTTTTATTAGTTTTAAGTAACATTTGTGCTAAAACCTGACCCAAAAAGTTCTATATGAAATGACTACAAGATAAAACAGACCCATAATTAGCCGCGCTAACCAAACATGTTTTTTTTGCTGAATTTGAAAATCATAATAATAACAGTATGACTTCCACTTGTACATTTGAACATACTTTCAACTGGCAAAAAAATGTATTTTTTTTCTCAATTTTTTCCTCTGAAAATGGGATGGCATGAGCGATGGAGAAGCATTCGGCCAGTAAAATTAAAAAGTTCGTTTTCACTCCTCCCCACAACCTCACACGAGCATGATTATTTTGGTGTTAGGAAGGGTTTTGCAAGGTTGCCATAAATAGAAGGTAAAACAAACAGAAGCCCTATTTTTTTAGAAAGATCATCTAACCCTTGTTTCAATCTGCAAACCCTATGTTTATGTCATTAGTGTTCGGTTACGAACACAACTAAAAAATTTTGAGAAATTAAAATTTATTTGTGGTTTATGGGGAAATGCTAGTCATACATTTTCCATATATGAAAAATACAAATCATATACCTTTCATGCAATTTTCTGTACATATGGAATTGCATGAAAAGTGTATGATTAGCGTTTTTCCATATATGCAAATTGTATGACTAGCATTTTTGGTCAACCCGGGTGCTACAGCTACAGGTTAATACTCCAAACGAGTAGTAATTCAAATACTTACTTCTTTCTTGTAGTTGTAATAGGAGATCTCTTTGGGGTACTGTCTCTTAGGGGGGACATAAGAAAAGGCAGACATGGCCGAGGGGGGCATGGCCGTGGCAGGGTCTACTTGCTTGTCCGCTTTCATTCTCAAAATAATACCAAAAAATTTACGAATATCAAACGCTGTCTAAATAGTTTAGTATAAATTATCAGTATCTATTTAGCAAACGAGAGTATTAATTTTTATGCAAACTCAGACTGATTTGTGAAAAATGCACGTGCTTTTAAAACAACGTTTGTTGATCTTCGTTTTGGTTGAATGAAAACAATACGCGTTATGTACTGTAACTTGGCTGAGGAAATGTTATAAAACAGTATATCGCATCACTAAAACAGACTTGTATCGAGTAGATCAAGGAAAACTCGTATTAAATTCCAAAGCCGCTTTTCTATTTTATACAGCTTCTTAAAAAACCTTTTCAAAAGATTTCTGAAAACTTTATCAATAATGAAAAAAATGCTTATCATACAATTTCCATATATGGGAATTGTATGATAAAGGTTTTTTCAAAAAACAAAAACCTCAATTTTTTCATCACACGACTGTTTTATTAGAATCAAACAGCCGCAGAAATTAGTTTAAACCTTTCTTCTATCATTTTTCAAAATTGTATGAAAATTGTATGACAAGCATTTTTTCCATACACTTGATGTATGGAATTGTATGATAAGCATTTTCGGTGTATGGAGGTCAACCCGGGTTCCCACAATTTTAAAATAAAGCTGTTCAAAAAATTTTTACACGGCATTTTGCATGAAAGAAAGGTTGTGAAAATTTGTTCACCTGTTCACGCTGACACGTTTTAATGCATTTTTTTATTATGAAAAGTCATTTTAAATAAGTTTTCATGTATTAAACTTCCAAAAAAAATTGAAGAGGGGGACTGGAAAAGAGCCAAATTCGGTATCGTATCGAAAATCAAAGCTATTTTTACCCTTCCTTCCGACAGATATTTGTGTTTTTAGATAGGTTTTTAGATATTTAACCCACATACCATTTTTGTGACAATCGCAGCACGTGAACAAAAGTAAAAAAAAAGTTATAACTAAGCTGATCCGGGTCGAGGTCCGTGACTAATTTTTCGACTTTGGCGGTCGCGGAAATGTTAATTCCGAGACCAAAAATTCAGATATTGACAGGTTTTTATCTGGAAATTCCGTATCTCGGTAGCGATGGTCAAAAATTTAGTCGAGGCGCTCCAAAACTAGTCGCGGCGGTCAAAAAATTATACGCGGCATGGTCGAAAAAAAAATCGTGGCAAAAAGTCCAAAAAATAAGTCGCGCCGGTCAAAAAATTAGTCGCAGCGGTCAAAAAATTAGTAGCGGCACTAAGTTTTTGACCGTCGCGCCTTTTTTTCGACCATGCCGCGACTAACTTTTCGACCATGCCGCGACTAACTTTTCGACCATGCCGCGACTAACTTTTCGACCACCGCGACTAACTTTTCGACCACCGCGACTAATTTTTCGCCCGCCGCGACTAATTTTTCGGCTATGCCGTGAAAATTTTTTCGAACAACCGCGACTAATTTTTTGACCACCGCGACTAATTTTTCGACCGCCGTGACTAATTTTTCGACCACCGCGACTAATTTTTCGACCGCCGCGACTCACTTTCTTTCGGTTGCGAGGGTCGCGCTTAACTTTCCTTCAGTCGCACCGGTCGCGGACACATTGTCTCGGTCCGCATAGTCTAGAAATACCAAATTTCGATCGCGGCAGTCTGGAAATACCAAAATTTGGTCGCAACCGTCTGATCATGAAACCACAACCTCAACCCAGGGAATGGGAAATGGTAGAACAGCCAAAGCGTAATATCGTAATTCGGAATCCAAAATAATCCTAAAACAAAAGTTCCGTCTGAATTTTTTTATCGAATTTTGCTATTAATAAATTTTTTCATAGCTTATTGACCATTCAGTCCCCTCTCAAGTTTAAAAAAAAAACAGCCGAAAAAACAGCCAATTTATCAAAACAGTTTTCGTTTTTTGTTAGTAATTTTCCAATTTCTTGCTTTTAAAAATTGCATATAGACTAGTTAAGCTACTCAAAAAAAAATATTCGTCTTACAAAAACACGCGTTACACTATCAAATTTTTGGCAGTTTGAGGAGGGAAACATAGGAAAAATTTATCTATCAATCCTCCGGTGGGTAAAATTGTTTGGATGCAGTTTTGCTTAAATGTTTGACTTGAAAAATTCTAGATACAAAAAAAACCTACATATAAAATGGTTCTGTGATATGTTACATTCAACTAATTTTCCGGCACCTACGCTATTAAAAATTGCTACAAAGTCAAACTAAAATGTAGGATTAGGTCAAACTAAGTAAGAATAAGAAATGTGTTTAGCATGTTTAGCTTGTTAATCACGCATATTTTCATTGAATTATAAAGAAAAAACAAAAAAAAACCTGCTCGTATCATGGAGAAGCACAGAATTTTTTCACTACCTTTTATGATCTATGGATTAGTGTTCGCTTTTAAA